TTTTTTTTTTACAGGGATTAGCCCACCGATAGGTGTCCTCCTCACCACCAACATCTTCCTCACCACCAAAACCAGCTCCATTATCACCACCCACATGATCACCACTACCTCTTTTATCACCACCTAAATCATAATTTCAGTGGCCTAGAAATGGATTAGCTTTAACCAGAGCAGAGTTGTGCAATATCCACTGTCTCCCTACTCCCTTCCACTTCCCGCCTCCCTCCCTCCCACCCACCGTGTCTCTAAGTCTACTACAATCATTACTACTACTTATCAAACAACTGTCATATAATTATGATTGGGGTGTATATTTAATGAAAAGGGTCAAGAGCAAATTTATTTTAAAAGTCACTGGTAACATATGGTTTTGTAAAAGGGGATGTATATACACTTGACACATCTCCCTGAATGTACAGTACAATACTGTACTGCTGATCAGTGAGGGGACATCACCACAGTGAGCAACTACCTTTGATGGTCACTGACCATTCACCAAGAGAATTTGTTTTCCCCAAATACTCTACAGATTAGTGTGTGCAGTGATCCAAATAGCATCAACTTGCATTATGTTTACCTACCTGTACAACCTTCCTGATATTCTGAGCCACCTCTGGTCGTGGTCCCAGATTCAATAAGCGACGACCAAAGCTCATTGCCATCTTGTAATTTTTCATCTTGAAAGCTAAGTTGACAGCAGTTCTTAGTGTTAGAATCTGGTGGCCAGGCTGTAGCTCACAATGGGTGAAATACATAGCTAACTCCAGAGAGCGTTTTAGTTCTTCTTGTGTTGTTTTACCATGACTCTTGCGATAGAGCTCCATGCTGATGCCAACCACATATTCTTTACACTGCAGTAAATTCTGCGCTTCACTGACCTATAAAAATAAAAGGCATTTTTATTACTTAACAATTGCTGAACATACACTGTAAGTTAACAGAAATAAAACCGGATTGATTTTAATTTTTACTACTAAGACATGAAAAGTATATTACATATGCCAGATAGGTTGAGAGAGATATATCACTGAAATACATGGTATCAATACTACTTTGACCGTTACCAATAAACTCCTCGACAAGCTAACTGTTCAATCATCCCGTTACCATAACCCTGAATATCTGAATTTGAAATCATACAACATGTACTGTATGTGAAATGCAAGTTACGGAATGATTCCCTACATAAATCACCCAATTTCGTGTGTGAATTCTGATAAAATAAAAATATATAAATAACTTTCACTCATGAAAAACTTCCCATGTGAAAGAATCAAACCCTCATTGCATTTCCAACCCATCCTCAACTAAGATCAGGTCTAATAAGACTTATTAACATGAAAGCTACTCAGCACATTACACAGTACAACTATCCTCATTTAATGATAGAGTTGCATTCCTAAAAAAAACCTAACATTGTGAGAAATTATCACTAAATGAGGATAAAAACACGTTCAAACAGCAGGGCGGTGAACACTGGTTCAGAATTAAACAATTTAGTGAGCAAAAGGCAAGCCTAATTCAAACAAATTTCAAATTGCATACTGTATATAAAAAATTAATAAAATTGCTATGGTAAACAATAAAATTCATACATAGCATATCATAAAATATAATAGCATGTATTTTATGCAAAAAAGAAAATAGCTCCCTCCCACTCAAACCACCTTCTGGGTGATGCGATGCAGTTCAGCTGGGCAGTCACCCAGCTGACCCAGAGACATGTGACTGATGCCATGCTGCACAGTATGTATGCCATGACACACATTGGGGGAGGGAGTCAGGGGCCACAGCTGGGCTCTAAATGCAGTTAGCACCCCCAAATATGTTCATTAATCATACACACCCATTCTCTTAATTTTTCTTATTTTTTAGTTTGATATTATATTTTCTTTATTTCTAAACCACATTAGAGTATTGTAATGATTTTTCCACAACATTTATAGTTTCATTACATGCAACTTGCCATCTTACAAGCCACCTCATCCCCTTTTTTTTTCTCTTTCCCAGTGAATCAAGCTATCCCTAAACCAAGTTTTGACCTAATTTCAAGCGAGAAAGGGTGTCAGAAGATTTTTTCTGAAACTGAATTAATGTTAAGTGAATTAACACTAAACCAGTGGTTCTTATCCTGGGGGGGCATTTCAGATTTCCATGGATGGGGGAGCTTTTTCTCACAGGGAAAAGTCTGTATAACTAACCCCAGTGGGCAGGAAAAAGCCATAAGTGATATCTCTGTTAGCCTGAACAATTGGTGCAAAGCACTTCCGGGAATGAGAGCTTTCCGGGTAATGGACGACTCCCCCATCCCAGGAATTTTCCAGGCACAAGGAAAATGTTCTCAAATTGACGCTTGGAAAATCGTTGCCAAAGCCGGAATTTTCCGGAAAATTCTGGCTCTGGGAATGATTTTCAGAGAAAATTTCAATTCCGGCTATCGGAGAGTTCCGGGTTTGAGGGATTCTGGCTAACGGAGATACGTGTACTATATACAGTATAAGCAACATATTACTATACCCATTTTGTACACAAATGTACTATGGTAAAGGATGTTTTTTTTCTGTAGTGCGAACTATGAGACGTTTATACTCATATTAATCGCTATCTTGCTAAGTCAAGTCAGTGACATTTTATAAGATAACTTTTAAGCTTAAAACTCTTCCGCCTTCTGACTGGGAGGAGGTGTTGACAGTCAAGGGGAGATTATCAAGTGCATAGCAGCGAAGGGACTCGGGAATACTGTATATGTACAATACAGTTTAAGTTTTTTACATAAAATGTCACTGACTTGACTTAGCAGAATATAAATTGCACTGTTGGAAATCTTGCAAGATAGCGATTAATTTGAGTATAAACATCATAGTTGCTAGAATTTTAGTCCCTACAGTAGTACAATTAGTACAATAATATGTGTTCAAAATTATGTTTTTTTGTAATAATTAACTTAGTACAGGTTGTGATAATTGTAATGATTTTTCTAAATTCAGTTGCCTCCTAGATGTCTTGAATACAAAAATAAAAGGTGCCCTTGTTTTCCTTTTCTATCTATCTATATAAAAATATATATGAGAGAGAGCAGAGAGAGACAGAGAGAGAGAAGAGAGAGACAGAGAGAGAGAGAGAGAGACAGAGAGAGAGAGAGAGAGAGAGAGAGAGAGAGAGAGAGAGAGAGAGAGAGAGAGAGACAGAGAGAGACAGAGAGAGAGAGAGAGACAGAGAGAGAGAGACAGAGAGAGAGACAGAGAGAGAGAACCAGAGAGAGAGAGACAGAGAGAGAGAGACAGAGAGAGAGAGAGAGAAAAATTGAAAATAGAGAAGAAAAAAGGTTATATAGTAGGGTATGCTATACTTGAATCTAATTGGTTCTAGAATTCGTTATAGCATTCGCTTGTTATAGGATTAATCCGCTCCAGGCCCCCAAATACAACCACTTAACACTGAAAAATATAATATAAAATTGTAAAAAGTGCATAAATATGCATCCTAACCCCTGAAATAAAGAATATCATTAATATTTGTAATAATAAAACAATAAATTAGAAAAAAAAAAAAATAAATTATGTTCATTGTAGGAGTTTCGTTCGTTATAGCATTCTCAATTTTATAGGTAAAACCGTTCGTTATAGGAATATTCGTAGTAGGATCTGTTCGTTATAGCATACCCCACTGTAACGTGTTAATCTACACCACAAAGATGCCGAAAACCATCTTTTTAAAGTGAGTTTATTTTACATATTGACAATATATAATGCAGTGCAGTGTTGATTTAAAGAAAATAATCTTGAATTACAGCATGAAGCATGGGGTGACTTCTCTTCCACCCCAATGCCTTCTCTTCTCCCTTCTCCTCCACCCCCATTCTAATTCCCATCATCATAGGTCATCCAGGAGCCGTCTACATACACAACCTCCAAAGTAAGTGTACTTTTCTACCTTTTTTGTTGAATCTAGGCAATTTTGGTGAGCTGGAACCACTACCCAAAACCCATTGAAACAATGGTTTCGGTTAACGAGGTTTTTAGGTTAACGAGCAACCTGTAACGGAATTGTTACAATTAACAGAGATATATATATATATATATATATATATATATATATATATATATATATATATATATATATATATATATATATATATATATATATATATATATATATATATATATATATATATATATATATATATATATATATATATATATATATATATATATATATATATATATATATATATATATATATATATATATATATATATACAGAATATCCTTCTTTCCTTAAGCTTTAGTAACCCCCTTTGTAATAATTATATGTACTTGTGATACTTGCCAGATGCTTCAGGTATTATTGTACAGGGGTACCTATTGACAGCACTAGGATCCCGGTTCCACTATCAAGGAATAAACTATTAAAATCAAAACTGAATTTGCGGATTTGGTGATTCAAGGCCATTTTGAGAACCTAACCCCTGTGTATTTGGAGGGCCTACTGTACACATATATGGGTCGATAATTTGGTATTGTTGTATTTTTGTAGGAGGGAAAGGAGGGAAGTGCCTCAATAAGTTAGAATTTGGGATAACTCAGCAAGGCCAGAGCCCCACATGTGCCGAGTTATCGAGGGTTTACTATGTTTAAATGTGATGATGTGTAGACTGATTTGGCTTCTAGGGCATTCCAGAATTGTTAAGATCTCTTTACAATAAAACATGAGTAACTGCATAACATGGGAGGGAGGAGAGAGAGAAGAGACAGACAGAGGAGAATAGAGTAGAAACAAAAGAGAGAGAGAGAGAGAGAGAGGAAAGAGTAGAAAGACATGGTCTTTTCCACCTACTATGTGAGAATCTTTGTTTCAACAACAAAATCGGCAGGCCATTATAAAATGAGACTCACCTCCTGCTTTGTGTCTACAATGATGAGTGGTACAGCCAGCAGTATTCCTCTCAGTTTCTCTACTGCTTCAGAAAATTTGGCTGCAGTAGTTAACTGTGAAGCTTCCTGTAAACATTTACAGAGGCAATGTTAGTAAAACAATCTTAAGCATTCATTACTGTATATAATAACCTTCTTATATTACAACCGTTAATCTTGAGCATATTGCACATAATAATTTTATTAATTTGTCAGTTACTCTTTATATACAGAAATTGAACATAAGCCGCAAAAAAGTGACGAGTACTATTGCAAAGTATAAAATACAGTAATTAAATGTGGTATTTAAGTTATACTGTTTCAGTAAATTATAAAAAGCATTAGTACTATTTATGAAGTTTCACTGCAGATTATATACTGTTAAACTAAAACCATATGGCTACTTATTCACTAATTTTATGGAATACAGTACTTTTTTTAGTATTTTTTTCTCATTGAAGCCTATTCCCACATAATGTATTGCAGCTAGGAATGAGCAACATCTATTTCTACATCATTCACTCACTCATGCACAAAATGAATCTTTACTCAAATCTAAAAAAAAAAAAAAAGGGGGGGAAAAGAGGGATTGGCAGATACTTATACCACTATCTAGAAAGTTCAAGAGAACAGGATGTCAATTTCTGCAAGATCAAATCTTGCTTGAAATACTTGAAACCTTCATACAGGGGTATAACGAAAAGATGAAAAAAAAAATGGAATTTCAATACACAGTACACTGTACCCTCGTTAATTCAGAGTTAAAATTCGGATTTTAAGCTAATTCGTATATATTGTTTTAAAAAATAAATTAAACTACAGTGAATCCTAGAAGATCCGGAATAAAAGGGGGGACCACCTGTCCGGATTTTCCGGCATATAATAAATTATATAAAAACCCCAAAATATAGTACTAATGTAGTGAAAACAAATTACCGTATATAAACGATGCATTTACCTATGATAACATAAGAAACATTGTATCATTAGTAGAGTGAATGAAATAATATTCCCCAAAACAACAATTGCCAACCCTGTTTATGCTTCCCACCTCCTCGGGCAACTGACAGATCAAGCAGCGCCCATGGGCCTAATATGTTCTTTACTCTGGTTTGGTTATGTTTCTTAGAGAATCTTCTAGGAGGCTTCTTAGCCCAGAACCCCCAATTTTTTTGTCCGGATCTTCCAAAATCCGGATTTCCCAAGTCCAGATCTTCTAGGGTTTACTGTGCACCCACCTCTCGTTTTACTCGGTGGTTATGTTCTTGAAAACCACCGCTTAATTAAAAAATGTGTAAATTAAACATAACTTTCCCATGAGAATACATGTAAATGGTACAGGTTAGAAAAAGGAACCATCATTTACTGCACAGGGTATGAACAGTGCTCTCACTTAAACCAAGCACGCGGCCAACCTCAGACACACGCTCTCCTCTCTGAAGGCGGGTGATCACATTTAATTTCACATCCATTGCGATTGTTTTTCGTGCCTTTTTAGCTTTAGGCGCTCCAGAGAAGGCAGATGGAAGTTTTCCAGACATGCTCAATGGGAAAAACCACGTTTAACACTAAAAAGGTACGTGATAAACACACAATGCAAATGAGAGCACAGAGAAAAAGTAGTGCTGGTGTGAACTGAAAAAGCGATACAGTTTTACCCCGCCTAACGCGGTTTCACTTAACGCGTTTTCGCATATACGCGGTGCCTTGCCAAAGCTGAACTTTCACTTAACGCGGATTTTTTCCACATATACGCGGTGAGTGTCCGAGACGCTATTTTTAGATTTGCCCCACCCGCCACCCTGCCTGACTGCCTGTTTTAGCTCATAAAATTCATACAAATTACCAGGCCAGAATATAATTTACATTGCTGGAATTCTTATAATTTGGTGATCATTTTGAATATAAACATCATATATTTTGCTTTAAACTTACAATTTTTAGATAAAAATTTTTCTCTAGGTAACTATGGTATCTTTTGTGCAAAATATATGACATTTATATTCAAAATATTCCTGGTCTTACAAGGAATCCAGCAATGTCAATTATATTATCCTAACTTTAATCTGAGGTATTATTTAATACTAAATGTTAAAAACTCTTGAAGGGACGATTGGTGGGGGGTGGGGGGGAGGGTTGGGACTGACCGCGCGGTTGGAAGAGGGGGGGAGGCAAGGTGGGGTACTTTGATTGACAGATAGTGTCGTGAAGATTATTTTTTTTTTATTAACTGAAGATATTTGTTTTAGCTCATAAAATTCATACAAATTACCCGGTCAGAATATAATTTACATTGCTGGAATTCTTATAATTTGGTGATCATTTTGAATATAAACATCATATATTTTGCTTTAAACTTACAATTTTTAGATAAAAAATTTTTCTCTAGGTAACTGTTATCTTTTGTGCAAAATATATGACATTTATATTCAAAATATTCCTGGTCTTACAAGGAATCCAGCAATGTCAATTATATTTTCCTAACTTTAGTTTGAGGTTATCCCACACATCTCCTTGGGACGGTTGGTGGGGGGTGGGGGAGGGAGGGACCGACCGACCATCTGTTAGCCGGCTGTGTAGTGTGAGAGGGGGAGGGAGTTGAGTCCATTATTTGAATGGACATTAACTTGGCGACTGTATTTCTCTATTTCTCTTAAGTATTAATTGTGTGCATGTACCATCATAAAATTAAGATGTTATTTTTACTACAACATAGGTATGTGCCTTCAAAAAGTGGAGTTTGGGGGTCGGGCCGGTTTCTATTGGAATTAATCCCATATGTTCTGTTGTTCACTTAACGCGGATTTCACTTAACGCGGGACCCTCTGGGTTCAATTGACCGCGTTAAGTGGGGTGCAACTGTACGTGAGAAGCTTGTTAGACGTCGTCACAGTTGTGGTACAGAATATTTCATTATCATCATTATCTTCATCATTAGTAGTAATAATCTTTATTATAACTATATTATAATAATTATTATTAAAATCGTTGATGTTGATATGACTGCGACTTTATAGTAATAACTTACAAGCACCTCACCAGGCATCACTCACGACTCCACTGCCAGGCGACCAGGTGAATACACACGGCAAATTTAAACTGTCTAGAGTGAGTTATTTAAAAAATAGGTGCGAGTAGATTAGCTTTTGGTATCAATTGAACAATCGCGTTATTCCAAAAACGATTAAATCAAAGGCGCGTAAAACGCGAGTTACCTGTAAAGGGAAGCCTCGGATAACAACGGTTCGACCAACAACTTTTCGTACAGGGGGTATTTGAAACCCTAGATAATTTAGGACCCAATTCAGTTTACAGCCTTCTTTCATTCGTATTTACCAATTATAATACAGTATAAATATAATAGAATTTAATTTTCATATAAATAATAACTAAATCCCGATATGTATTATAAAAAAATAAAATAAATATACTGTAAAAAAAATGAAGAGCGCCTTGCGCAAAGAAGCTGCCTTGCTAATGAGTGGTAAACAACAGTCGGAGTTTGGCGGGCCTTTTGTTTTCACGCATCTGGAACAGGAACTGGAGAAAAACTTTCTCAGATTTCTTACAACATTTTTGCATCCCTATTCAACATGAGCAAGAGAGCAAGTGATGGTAGTGTTGTTTCAAAAGCTAATAGCCGAGAAACAACATGTGTTAAAGCGATATGAAAAAGGTGAGAGGTCTGCTGATATTATATGGAGCAAGCAATGAACATATTTTTTGAAGTGGATCCGTAAACAGAACAAAGCATTAAAATTTGAATAAACGCAAATGACGTCTACATAAAGATGTATAATGAGAAAAGAAAGCAGCTGTGCAAGGTTTGTGCAAGGTTCTTTCGAGAACTTTATTATTCGAAGGCCTAAACCATCAACTTCAGCTACACCATCAAATTGAACTTTAAGCCTAAAATTGCCTTCACTCTGGCTGGGAGGAAGGGGAAGTGTTGACAGCCAGCGGGGAGGGGAGATAACAAAGTGCATAGTTAGTCAAATAGAGGGAGTTTAAGTTTTGCGTTTATAAAATGTCACTGAATTGACTAAGCAGAATATAACTTACATTGCTGGAATACTTACAAGATAGTGATTAACTTAAGTACAAACATTCCATAGTTTGCACTAGACTTAAATTTTTAGTACTTAACTTTAGTAATGCTTTAGGACAATTATTTCTTGTACTTTTCTTTACAATATGTATTTAGGATGGTGTGTGCATGTAAACGAGTAAAAATAAATGAAGAGAGTTATGTATATCTACCCAAAAATACCTCACAGCTTTACCCAGTAGCCTGGTGGTTGCAATGACAAGTCTAACCTGGCTACAATGCCATGATTAATCACTATAAAGCCTTATTATATCAGTAAACACTAATAGTAATAGTAAATCCAGTGAAATATGGCAGGGAGGGAGGGATGTTAATTGCCCTCTCGTAATTTTGTCCGACTAAACGAGGTGCAGGACCATCAGTTCCCAGAAAACCAGTGGTGTACCTGTATATGGGAGCGAGAAATGGGTCACATACACGAGGCACCTTAAGGTACTCGAAAACTTTACCAACGTAGCCTACGTTCCATCCTCCAAGTTCGCTGGGAAGGCAAGAGAACAGTTGCCAGTACAGTAAGACCTCGATTAATCGGACATATTTTTTATTTTACTTTTTTTTCGGGGATTAGCCCACCTGGGCACAGGTCACTAACCCACATCGGGGCCTGGGAGGTGGTGGTGGTGGTGGTGGTGATGATAATGATAATGATAATGATAATGATAATAATAATAATAATAATAATAATAATTCAGATAAGTAAAATTTATAATAAAGAATAAAAAAATAAAAATAATAAAATAATAATGATAATAATAATAACAACACTGCAATAATAATAACAATAATAATATTAGAGAACCATAGAGAAATAAAAAAATAAAAAAAAGATCAAGAGTGAGAAACACTATATGTATGTTGTGTTGTCAATGGTAAGAAAAACAATTAAGACCCTGCTATTGTGTGTAAATGAGGCAGAAAGTCAGATGAGCAACCTGGGACTTGGTCACAATTTTCGTGATGCCATATGGCAGCAGGGTCT